CTCAAAACCTGGTTTCGGGGGTTGAACTCAGACCCCCACAGTTCAACCCCCAAATAAACCACTTTGACCTCACAACCGCATTTCGGGGGTTGCGCTGAGACCCCCCTCAGACACCACAGTTCAACCCCCGAATAAACAACTTTGACGCACCAGAGTTGTTGAAACGAATCGTTTACGAAACGAATGCGAATCGAATCGATGTACTGTATTTAGAAAACGAACACGAATCAATATCTGATTAATATGTCTGTGAAAGAACCTAAACGAACCTAAACGAACCAAAGGCTTCCTGCCTTGTCGGTGTGAGTAAAAAATCACAAAAGCAGCCACTGGATGCACCCAAACGACACCAAGGCGCTCGATGGGTTGAAACTCTTTGGGCCACTCTTCTTCTCGTGCCTTCTGCCACCAGCCCAGGAACCTGGACATGGCTCCCATTTGATCCCGTTTGTGATGGTGAGTGGCACAAAGAGTCGCAAGTTTGGTGACCAGGCCGACCCGTTGTTCAAGCCATGAACATCGAATTGACAGGGGTACGTTGATGGTGGCGAGACGGGAGATGATCCAAGCGCACTTGCATACCCCAAGAGGAGCCACACCTGACTTTCAGAGCTGCTCGCCACGATAGACCCATCCACAAAGCGAGACAAACTGCTAACAGCATTCTCCGTCACTTGCCTATGAACATCAAACTTCCAACATGTCCAACTAAGATTGGTAGAGTTCCAACTTCTGCAGACCTCCGATCCCACCCACTCAACAGGACAGCCAGGCACCACCCCGCCGCCGAGTCCAACTCCTTCAACTCGTTGGACTCCGGCCTGTTGCGTTGCGTCGGCGTTTTGTCAGTGAATGTCGACTCACCGTATCTCCGAATCCACACATCTCCAAATGTGTATCATGTGTGGGCCAAAATAGCCGTGCAAACCCCGCATCAGGAACACCGCCGAAGCTGTCTAAGCAGTGTCTGAAAAGCATTTGGATGGTGGGAGCAGCTGAGGAATCCAGAGCTCATTACCGCGATTGGGGCTCAGGTGACATGACATTTCGTTGCTCCTTCCAGCCTCAACTTCTCGGCGGGTGTTTTGGGAGGGAAAAGCACCCATAACTTTCCTGGCGATCGAAGATGTTGCCAGTCCATGCCAGTCCAACATCGAGCAAGAGAAGCAGCGCAGCTTTTCTTGGAAAACTTCTTGCAACATATGTCTCTATAGATGCGTCTTTTCCATATGTCTCTATTCGATGCGACCTTCTAGGCCCTTGAAGTCGTCCACCTCTCTGGTGTCTTCGCAAACAGGCCATGGGCCGGTCGATTCTTCGTGTCAAGCATCTGCCAGAGATCAATGCATTCCAGGCACTGGTTCCCAAGGGATCCTGTGTAACGATGAGTTTGGTCACGGAAACAAACAATCCCCCAACAACTGCCGGCTCGAAAGAATGCTGTCCTTTTTTGGAGGGAAGCTGTACCATCAACAAATCCTCGAATCATTGTCACCTATAGACCATCCCCCAATTTGACAGCAATGGTCACTATATTCCATATATACATGTTGGTCACTCTAAGTTAATTAACATGTTAAACTCAAATCATGATTTACCCCGGTCCGTGGGAAGGTTGGCCTGTTCGGAGGTCTGCGCCCTAGTGGGCGAATTGGAGATCCCCATTTCACCGAGGGATGAATTTTGTTCCTCCGGAGTGGGCTGTCTCAGTTAGTCCAACCTGGACACCCCTGAAGTTGCCCCGTTGAGTGGCTGCGAACACAATTGACAAAAAACATGCACATGCTTGCTTTGAGAGACTTCGAAGCTGAGAAACAGATTAAAACCCAGTCAAATACATGAACCGAACTTGAATCAGTTGCACTACAGTAAATGGCTGCATCATGCTGTATCTATCTATTTTGTTGGACTCGCAGCAGTCTCGCGACCGTCTCGACTGCGGACCCTCGACTGACTTTGGGGCTCTGGCATGCCGGCCATGAGCCCATGAGCCCAAAGTGTCAGAGGAGCGAACTCGTCTGTGAACAGCATACGCCGCCATACGGGAAAAGGCAAATTCTTTGGAGAAGTGCCTCATACGAAGATCTAGGTATAGGCTAAAATCAGGATACTTTGGTTGACCCGCATGGGAGGTCAAGCTGAATGGTGGACCACCAGGACTGCAGGTTTCGACCCATCCCCAATAGTTCTAGAAGTGCCGCTGAAAACCGTTTCCTGATGCACTTTGCTGCCAGATCGTCGGGGGCCCACCAGCAGCCAACGATAGGGTGGTCGAAGAGATCCAAGACCTGCTAGAAGGTCCTGCCAATTCAAATCCATCTACAGCGACAGTGGTTGGTTGTTTGGGTTTAAAATTCATGAAAATGCTCAATACCTTGGTGTTACAAGTACCTTAGTCATGGATAGCGGGTGATTGATAGTGTTTTTTACCATTTTGGTTGACACTGAGTCACTCTGAAGAATCCCTTGCTCGTGTGCACCACCATGCACCACCTCTTAGCGTGATTTTGCTTGGATGCGATGATTCTGATGCCTGCTCTGACATGCATTCCTCCGTGTCACCTCCAATTACCCAACTCTGGTCCTCTCCAAAAACGCTTGGCACCTGGTACTCATCCAGCAAGCTCTTTGTAGCTGGATATTCTCCAAAGAGATGGTCGAACAAGTACAGTGGGTCATCGTCTGCTTGTGTTGCCGCATACTCCGCCTCATTAGAACCGTGGCAAGGATCTTAGTGAGTCTTGATGGACCAAGGTAACAATCAAAGCAAATATAAAACAATGAGGACTATGATGGCCCTGAAGTTATATTTATTATACAAGCCTTCTCTTCGCCGTTTTGGCCTTACCTCGCGCCTGCATGCTTCTTGAGCTCAACACAAAAATGTCATGGCGCACTGTAAGGAGCTGCAAATCTTCAAAACTCGCACACTGACGTTGTCGTGCAAGTATTATCCAAAGGTTGCTGGGACTATTCTTTTTCGACTGCGTTGACTGCATTGCACCGTGAACTTTCTTTCATCGAATCCTACACCTTGGGCGCGTTTTGGACCGATGAATGGGAGGCCGAAGGTGCAAAGTCGTTGAGCCTCAAACGGAGGCCGAAGCACCAATCGCAAATCATCTTCCTGTGGGCTCACGGAAGGAAAACTCTGGAGAAACGGGTTTGAACAAGGATGCAACGTACCAAACAAAACAAAGGGTCTGCATCGTAATATAACTTGTTGTGGTTCGCAGCATATTGTGTATGTTTCTTAGATTTGATTGTAGTCTTTTATGGGTATCTGGTCAAAGGCTAAAAATGATTCACTTTTGGATTTCTTGCAACTGATTGGGCATTCCATATCTCAGTTTGTGATGCAAGCATGTGGAAAGTCTTTCTTCAGGAGTAGGAGTCAGAGTCAACAGCACGCAAACATCACCATTGTTTTGTGACAGCCCGCTCTGCTTGGTCTATATCTCAAACACGCTGCCAAACATCCAAACCTCGGGCTCTCCCGAGGCTCCCGAGTCTCTGCCGATGGAGGTTCGATGGATTGCCCTGGAGTCTCGAAATGCCAAGTCTCTGATGCCCAAAGTCTTCGGTGAAGCGCTCCATGCTCCACGACTTCATGGCCTTGTTAAGGCCGGAGGCGGCGCCGGCGAGAATCTGCGAAGTGGAAATCATTGCTGGAGCGCTGAAGATGCTGTTGTCCAACTGAGAGAAATCATTATATATTAATTAATGATAAATGTTCAAACCATGAAACGATGCATCGGGACAAACAACTTCTACTAGTAACAAACGTATTCATTACAACATGGGTCGTTTTTGTGTTCCAATTTGTTCCAATTTCAAGGAGCCGATCTATGCTTGATTTCTCACTGAGGTTTACGGTATGACACGTGCTATATGTATACGTAATACAACTAGTAATACAGTATTGCATAGTAACTATTATTAGTATGTGCGGATATATACCTAGAACCTGATCGACCCCTGTTTTGGATCCAACACGTGGTCTTTTCCTATCAAGCAAAGGTCATGTTTGGGTTCTAGAAGTTCTAGGTATGCCATAAGTAATACAGTATTAGTATGTGCGGATCGCAACCTCAAATGAGCAAATAAGTCTACACTCCCACTCGCTGGCAAGCGTCGCTAAATCGTGATGAACATCCTTAAGTGCATGTGCACACATTATAAATACATATATATATATAAAGATGCATCGCTAAACTGTTTTGTCCACTTCGCAGCGAGTGTGTC